ATCATATAAAATAAATCTGCATATTACGTATCAATATGGGATAAGAACAGACACCAAGTTATCACAGATAATTGTGGATTTATTGTTTTTCCATAAATATAATACACAATATTTTTTTTTTTTTTTTAATAATTCTATTACTGTATACCCAAACTACAATAGTAGGGAAATAAACTTGTTATAACATTTTACAAATGCTTGACACATTTTTCCCCATACAAGTTGAACAACATATGTAATAATATAGAAAACAGTCAAACAATGGAAAATCACAGTTCTTAATAGATGAATAAGCTTTCTGTCTTATGAGTTAATATGACACCTGGTTTCTACATTAATAACAATAATTACAACAAAAAAATCAATTCATGATATGAGATAAGTTGTTAACATACAAAGGCAAATTCTAAAATTTGTTACGTCATGTACTGACACATACACAGTGCAAAAATCTGGCAAACAATCACTTAAAAAAATAACAGTTAAACTCTGCGGCTGCTTTAAAAGAGAGAAAAAAATGCCTAAATAAAAGAAGCAAAAAATAGAAACAAAAGAAAAACCAGCAAAACTAGGTGATACTGTAATTATTTCAGAATATAGTAGTAAAAAGAAGAGGATTAATTAAAATAAATTGAAACTTATTGTTTTATTATTTACAAGACTTAAAATATGCGAAAAAAGTTTTGAATGTGGATACGATTAGAACAGGAAAAAAGATATAAATTAACACTAGCGAATTACAAAATATATTAGATAAACAACTTATTAATAAATTGTAACTACTAGAAATAATGTTTGACAGGCATGAAAGCTTCCTTTAGGCGCATTTACTCCTAAGAATCAAAGAAAATGAAGTAATAAGGAAAAACATCCAAAACTGATGATGTTAACCTGCAGTTGGATAATTATAATCCTATCATCTTTGACAAGAAAGACTTGAATATACAAAACTTCTCACCTGCAATATTTAAACAAATAAAATAATGCTAAATTTTTTAATTTTTTTTATTAGAATGATTTGTATACCTGCAATATAGTCTTAACATTTACTTGTGTCCATTGGTGATGCTGGTGATGGTGCAGGTGAAGGAGAACAGGGCGCTCCTACGCCGTAAGGTGGTGGTATAGCCGGTTTAATAAATCTTTCAGGGTTCCTCTGAATCCCTCTTGGATGATGTCCCTAAATCCACAGCGTTGTAACAAATAAATACTAAGAGCCATAAAATCACAACTTACGACTAAAGGAGGTGCAGGAGGCGAGGAGCTTCTAGCTAGGAAGACGTTAGTGTAAATCGAACTGCCACACGCATAGCATCTTCCACTAACAACGTCCCGGTTGTTAAGAGCTGGACACAGCAATAGTAAAACTCAATAAAAAAATAAGCAACAAATTACAATTCAAAAATACAAAGATTGAAAAAATAAAATATAAACCTTTGGTAGTACCTCCAGGGCTAAGAGGTCTTGAAGAAACTGGTGAAGGAATGAAAGGCCCTGGGCTGGACTCAGTCCTTGAACGCATGTTAATGCCAGAAGCCATTTCATTGTAATGCCTCTCCTCTTCCATTTCCAAACTAAAAACAAATTTTAAAGATCTTATCTATATATTATCTAAATACAGTAGACTCTAAATCAACCGAGGTGGTCGGGACCAGACCTACCTCAGATAATTGAAAATCTCGGATAATCTAATTTTAAAAAATAAAATAAAAAATGAAAAGAAAATTAATTAAAAACGCATTTTGTACAAAAATATGTTTATTTTGTATATATTGTTACCATAACCAACCTTCACTCCCTCGCAATTTTTCAGTTTCGGTGGGAAATTTTTTTAGCTAAGGTCATGGCGTTTTCTTTGATAACCGGACCAGAAATACTCATTCCTTTGCTCCTCTGTTCAAGGAACCACAAAAAGATAGCCTTATTCATCAATAAGCACTCCTTCATTGATTTCTGCTCGGCCGGTGTTGAACTTGGCTGTAGCATGGATGATTCCAGTTTGGCACGGTTCTGACGCCAATCGCCGCGATATTCTTTAACTCTCCCCTTTATCAGCTAGTTTAATTGCCACATTTTTTTTTTCAATTGAAATCAAAACCCGTTTTCGTTGGGTTTCACGTTCAGCCATTTTTACTTACATACACTGTTCAATGTTTAATTTTATACGAAAGTATGTACATGCATAAAAGAAGAGAAAAACTATGTACTATATAAAATAGTTAAATAAACTATAAAAAAAACTAAAAAGCTAGGTAGGAGAATCTAGGAAATCCAGTACCAGATATTATCGTAACAACACCATTATAGCTTCAAAGAAAATATTCATACTTTTTCCCGCAACTGGAGTTTAGATGGCTTTATTAGTTTCTCACGATATCTGAATAACTTTATTAGTTTAGTTTACATACATATTTAATGTGCGTTTTTTTAAAATCTTGGATTACTAGGTGTTATCCGTAGTTTTAACATCAGTTAATCCGAAAACATCGATTGCAAATTTTAACTCGGTTAACCCGAAAATTGGATAATCGGATCTCAGTTAATCAAGAGTAGTATGAAATTTGAAAATTAAATTATCACATTATCTTGGGCTCAGGTTAGTTTATAAAATATAGCTAAATCATAAATTGATTAAACTTTTATCTTTAAAATAACAAACCTGCTTTCAGATTCTGAAAGATGTCTACATAGAGCCTCTCGTCTTTCCACTTCTAGCTGAAGCTTGCGCTGGAGCCTTAAATTCTCCTCGCGGACATGCCTTTCCTCCTTAACGTAACGTTCCATTTTCTCAGTATCTATAACAAAACAAAGGGGGAAAAAAACAATGTTTGAAATTTACCGCAATCGCTTGGTACTTACGTTCTTGCTGAGCATGAGCTAATTGCATTCTAAGACGGGCTACTTCTCCTCGAAGGGTTTGAATGTGAGCGCTTAGATTGCTAGCAGTGTCGCCGTTGCTCATGTCCCGAGGAGATGCTGGATCAGAAACCGGTTGGTCTAATTTGATTTGCAACATCCTTAAAAAAACAAAACAAGGAACAATGTGACAACTGATCTTTGAGAGAAAAAACAATCTACTAACCTCTTTTCAGCTTCTAACTTATCCATTCTTTTCCACAGCCTGTTAACAAGTGCTTCTTGCTCTTGTTCTAATGTATTTTCCAATTCAACCTACATTTTATATTAGAAATGTTGGTATTATACATATTATCATTTCATTTTAAATGTTAAAACAAAACATTTTCAAATTACCTTTTCTCTTCTTAACTGTTCTAAATTGCTTTGTTTTGCCAAAGTCTCTGCTTCTAGTTTTTCTATTTTACGCATTAATTTATTTACAAGGCACTCTTGCTCCTGTTCAAGTGTCTGTTCCAGCTTACACTTTTCTTGCCTTAACTGGAAAAATATGAAAAACATAAATGACCCGTTTATTTTAATATCTAACAAATAATCTACCTGAGTCAATTTACGGGATAAATCATTTGTGAGACATTCTTCCTCCTGCTCATAGTGGTGTGCCAATGTCTCTTTTTCTTTTTTCAAAGCTTGTATTTTTTTCAAAAGTGTATTGCTAATAAATTCCTCTTCTTGTTCAGCTTTCGCTTGCTGCAAATGAACAGGAATAATTAAAAATTCATTCAACACACATCACTCGAGTAAGTGCTTTCATTTAATCAAATCTTTGAAATAATTCATTACAGTGTTCACATGTTTTATCGATCTACTGGTTGTTAAGTGTTATTTATTTGTAAATGAGTGTTACTGGGGTCCACAAATGTACAGAAGATGAGGAAAACGAACAAAGATGAATTTTTAGAATAAAAGTTAAGGGGAGGCAGTAGGCATGGAAGAAAGTCTTCCTGAAACAACCAATACATGTCTCCTTGCATAATTCATGAAGAAAAGTACAAAGTAATCTCATAATTCTGTCTCTCGGGCATAAATGGACATGTAAAAAGCACAATTTTCCATGATTATGATTGTAAAGTTTAGACCTTTTGTACAAATAGAATTATCAGTGTTTCGAGGTGTCTAAAAAGGCACACTGAATTGATTTTGACCAATTATACACAGCCTGTCAGGCCTAAAACCTTACTGGAAATGGGAATATGCACTTATTTCATCCAACATTCAATTTATCCAGTTTTTCCCTAGGGCGCTGAACCAAAGCGCACTGGTTAAATGGTCAACTTATTAAGACGTTCAGTGCGGGGTTCATTTTCATTTTTGATATAATTGGGAACTGGACACCATTGTCATCCATCTACTGAAACAACCCATGGTGTCAAATGTTAAAAACAGATATCAATGACCACATAAAAAGTAGATTTTGGAAAAAAAAAGAGCCAAATAAACCCTAATAAATCTGCAGATCTGAATTCCTCCACAGGAGAAAATCCTACAACACAACTGTGGAAGAAACATTAACTTGCATATATGTAACTCTTGAAGGGCCCAAACATATTTTCTGCATGCTTTACTAAAAGGAAGGCAAAATTTTGGACAATTGCTTTAAAAGAATGGTTTATTCTAAATAAAAGCTTGATATTTCATCGATCTGAAAGACCTAGAGTAAATTTAAACATATTGTATTTAATTGAAACTTGTTCCATGTCCAAATTTAAAAGATGCTTGTATCGCCTAATTAATTTGGTTTGGGGGGAAAAAAAAATATAAAATTTGTTGTCAATTACAAACTATCTTGGAAATGGACTTTAAGGATTGAAACATGGGGCGTCAGTGGCTGCAACAGTTTAGATGTTGACACGATACTCATCACTGTAAGGTAATGGTCCCGGGTTCGAATCCAGCGGCCCTGGATTTGAATTCACACAGAGTCAATCGGTATGAGAGATGCTATTATGGTATGAGATACAAGTCAGCCTCTTCTAGCAACTAGATTAGTCGTCTTCCCTTCATCTCTTCTCAATCCTCTCCCAAGTGGTAAGACCTAGATGTTTGATTTTGTCATATTTTTATAATGAACGAGTTAGAAGCTGTAGTTTTTTGGCATTTAATTGGAAAAAAAAAAAAAAAAAAGAAGTAAAAGGAGTAATGTAGGTTTACCCACATTTTGTCATGCATTTTCTTTTTTAACTTTATCCACATACTCATGTTCACTGTTTTCCAAAGGGTGGTTTATGTTTAAACTAATGAAATTCACCATCAAAAATATCATTTCTATTCATATTCTTTTAAGTTTAAAAGAAGGCGTATGAAAAGAGTCAGACGGAGCGATCTGCTCGATGCAGTATTTACTGTGTGAATGACACCATGCTGCGCAATGTCCTATCAGTTGCCTTCATACAGAAAAAGTATGAAGTGACAGAACATCCCAAGTGACTAAAAATCAGTATCTTATATCGGTCGCATGCCGGTCTCCCTGTCTGAATGACCCTGCTGTACATTACATCGGTCTCCTCGATACCGATCGCCTCCTTGTGAACCGGTCCTAAGCCTTCCTCAGGGCTCTTCAGGAGAACACAGGTTTTTAAAAATAATTGTGGATTACTAATTTATTTTAAACCAGAACTATTAAAAAAATTATAATTATTGCCCTGTTAAGGCTTAAAAGTTGAAATCTTGGTTACGATATTACAGTGTACCAAAAAAGGTGGTTCTGGCTTCTCAAGTTGACTGGGTCACTTGTCAGTAGACTTCTGAACTGGGTCACTAATTGGTGGGTCATAAGTAGATTAACAAACCCATGAGTGACCCAATGAGTTCATTGACGTGCAAACCAACACCAGTGTCAACTCTTGAGTATTATGTGTGGTATTTTGTGACCGTTAATTAATGATTATTTGGAGATAAGATGCGGTCTGGTGTGATTTAAGTTTAGAAAAACATTTTCTTTATCGTGCTAACATTTCGATCTTTATTGAGATCATCTTCTGGGCCTGGGATTTACAAACAATGTTTAAATTATACACATACATGTAAGATGTGAAAAAATTAAAGTATTAGAACTCATTCAGTATTTGTTTTCTGTGAGATGTCACAGTTGTGTGCCAGTGAGATATTAACGTCTTTTGTTTAGATACATTGGATTTTGAAGGAGTGGAGAAGTAAGTAGGGATAGAAATCCATTTTTCTATATGGAGTCGGCTTCTTTGAGGTGAAAGGAGCTGACAATGGGAAAAAATGGGTAATGGTTCGTCCTGATTATCCTTTCAGGATTATATAGACCAGGATAATTAGAGAAAAGAAAGACAAATTTTTGAAGAATTAGACTGTAAAAAAGTCTGATGTGTGGAATGTAATGATTGTTTTATACGTTGTTCATCAGACCACATCTCACCATCTCCAAATAATCTGAGTTTTATAAATGCTTTAAATCTGATCGTATATGTAGTTCAATCAGTAACCTGTATAATTATGTTGAACAGGCAGGGTCGTATGACCCTGAGACCACCTGTACTGAGCTTTTAACTTAGTCAAATGCAAATCTATCATGGATGTACCCAGTCGCTGACCAACTATACTAGACAAGGTATAATTTAAATCGACTAACTGCAAATTTTCAATAAAAGTGATGTACCATCAGGTGCAATCTATATGGTTTTTTAATCAATGACCTTTTTTTGTGTCTTTCATTATGAAATCAAAAGCCTATAATGCTGAAGTACCTTGTGACTTCAGAATACTGATTTAACAAGAAATGGGTTACTCAGATCATCCACTGTATGTACAATTTACTTTGAGATATGAATATCCTGCCATGGATAACTGTTTACAGTTTATGACCGGTTAATGAAAAGAAGTGTACTGAAAATGAATTAAGATTATACGGTATATAATCTGCATGGTAGTAATGCAGAAGCTTTCTGTATATATGGAATGTGGTGGATTTTAGTCTGGTGGAGAAAAAGTGTGAAGACTTAGAAAAAAAATCAAGGAAGGACATACAATGAAGACAGACGCTTGTCTGAGCGATCTGTTCTCTTCTTGGAGCGCTTTCACCCTGAGCTTGTAAGTGTCAAGCTCGACTTTAAGCACTCTGTTTTGCTGCTGCAAGGACTCGATCCGCTTCTGCAGCTGCTCCCTCGTTATCGGCGAAGGAGGCATCATTATCGGGCCGCCGTCGATCGAGCTGGAATCGCTCTCGCTGGCGCTGTCTGCCATCGTGAGGCCGGCAGGCGAGTCTCTCCGGTGAAAAACGGCCTCGACGTCCGGATGTCAGCACGTGCCGCGACAAAAAAGTCAAGGGCCGAAGTCTCAGACGGTCGCCGAACGCATACCGGTCGTCAATTCGAGCCCGAACACTCAAAGACGAACTGCGGATGTTGAAAATCCAGTTGGGGAATCTACGCAGCCCTTTGGTAATGTATCGTTCAAAAGACAGAAATGCTTATGAACATCGTGATCACTGCCAAAGTGCAAAATGCAAACTGCAGAGAAACTCCACTGCTGTTATGATAAGCTGGACCCAGATCGACCCCCTTCTTCAGACGCACTTCGTTTATTACAATCCCATTTAATTTTCTCTTTAAATCTTATTATTTTTCCGAAATAAACCAATTGTCTCAAATGTTAAAAGTGTCAAAAGGGAAAGGAGAAAATGGCCGGTTGAAAAAATACAAATTTTCATTACGGTTTTCATTCCAGTTCCTTGTCGAAAAGTAGAAAACTAAATATTTTCCACATTGCATACCCGATTGGACTTGTGAAAACTTTGTGCGAAATATAAAGAGATTGATCGACTTTTTAATTTAAACCACTCAGCCTGGAAATATTTAGGTAATTCCCACCAATTTCAGGCACAATACAAATCTACAAAAGACACGAAATCAAATTTTATCTGGGTTAACTTTTTTTATGCTTGTGTGGAACTGATATTTTTTGTTCATAATTCATTTAAAATTTAATGTCTACCCTTCATTTTAAAATAAATTGTTCTTTTGTTATCTCTGGAACAATAAATATCGTTTTCCCACATCAAATGGCCGAAACCACCTTTTTAGTACAGAAGTTGTCCGTACACAACGTTATCCAGCATTAGTAAATCAACCCCCCTCATTTAAATATATAGCACAACATTCTAGGTACCAAGAAGTCAACTTTTTTCAAATTTCTCAATCATATTGCCTTTCTGATGATAACTCAGGGAACTCTTCAAAACCCATTTATTATACATTTTAAAAATACTTGTTATATTCTTGCACAAAATTCTCAATTTTCTAATGTTTGACTTAATTTCTTGCCATCATCAATTGTATGCCAACATTGGCCAATTGTATGTGAACATAGTGACCAAACTCACCTTTTTAGTCGATAAGTTATATGGATGAATTTTTTTCCATCATCAGACATATAGTCTTCTCTCAATTTATGATTAACAATTATTGTTCTTTTGTTTTCTCTGGAACAAAAAATCTTGTTTTTCCACATCAAGTGACCAAAATCACATTTTTAGTGATAAATTGTTCGTCCACGTTATCCAGCAATTAGTGAATCAATCCCTTAATTTTTTTTTATAGCACAACATAATAGGTACCAAGAAGTCAATTTTTTTTCAAATTTCTCAACCATATTGCATTATCTCTGGTTTCCTGATGATACTTTATGGAACTCTTCATAACCCATTTATTATGTAATTAAAAATACTTGTATTCTTGCACAAAATTCTCTATTTTCTGTTTGACTTAATTTCTTGCCTAATTAATTTCTAATTAACAAGAGCTAATTAACAATTCCGACACAACATTTTTTAAATATTATTCCCAGCTCGACTCGCATATTGTTCAAAAAGAATTCCTAGCCGACATTAACGAGATGTATCCGGAACATGTGTACATATTTACTGACGGATCTTCCATCGATGGCAAAACAGCCTTTTTTGACCCTAAACATCAATACAAGGAACAACATTCGCTTCCAACTTCAATGTCTGTTTATACAGCAGAACTAATTGCGATAGATAGCGCTCTCGATTACATACGAAAATTGGGTGATTCTAAATTTTGTATCCTCACAGACTGTCGAAGCATTGTAGAAAGGATAAATAACATTACCCCAGAATATAAATGCAGAAACTATATTTTTGCCCAAATCTGTAAGAAAATGCTTGAGACAAAAATCATGGGTGAAAGGGCATGCAGGTTTATGGCAAAATGAAACGGTGGACGCACTTGCAAAGGAGGCTGCAACATCAGGTCCAACCCTTGACATTAAAATTCCTAAAGATGATGGGAAAAACTTTTTGGAAAAGTTTTGTAGAAATCTGTGGCAAGAAAATGTTGGCAATTATTACAGGTCACTGTTCCCTGAGAAAAAAACCATGGTTTTCGGAAGGCGATAGCCCAGAAGGAATGTCAAAGGATTTTTATTCTACTATTTTTAGACTGAAAACAAATCATGGCCTATGGGGTAGCTACAAGAAGAGAATCAGTTTGGCATCGTCTCCGAAATGTCCCACTTGTGATTGCCCTTCAAATCCTTCCCACATAATTTTTGAATGTCCATAATATGAAAATGAAAGAGAACTGCTAAACTGCTAAAAAATCTGAGCAAAGTCCCAAATATTTCAAAACCAATAAACTTAGAATCTGTCCTAATAAGCAACAACCCATCACCTTTCAACACAATCTATGGATTTCTAAAGTCCATAAACGTTTCTTTTTGATTATCTTCAAGTATGAAAATTTAGAAGATGAGAAGATGATGGAGCTGAATGAGTGGTGCGGGCGCGCGGCGGGGACCTGCCCCTGGTCGGCCAATCACACTCGACAGTAAAATGAAAATAGAAGAAAACTTCATGGGTAATATGCCAGCGTAACCCCCCCCCCCAAAAAAAAAAAAAAAAAAAAAAATCTTGCCATCATCAATTGTATGCCAACATTGGCCAATTGTATGTGAACATAGTGACCAAACTCACCTTTTTAGTCAATAAGTTATATGGATGAATTTTTTGCCATCATCAGACATATAGTCTTCTCTCAATTTATGATTAACAATTATTGTTCTTTTGTTTTCTCTGGAACAAAAAATCTTGTTTTTCCACATCAAGTGACCGAGACCACATTTTTAGTAATAAAATTGTCCGTACCCAATGTTATCCAAGCAATTAGTGAATCAATCTCTTAATTTTCTTTCATAGCACAACATTATAGGTACCAAATCAACTTTTATCTGCTTAGGTTAACCTCATTCATAAAATTTCACAATCATATTGCATTATTATTACCTAGTTTCTTGAAGATACTTTAGGGAACTCTCCAAAACCCATTCATTATATATTTTAAAAATACTTGTTTTGCTGCATTCTGGTACAAAAATCTCAAATTTCTGTTTGACTTATTTTCTTATCATCATCAGTAGTTGGCCAGCTAAATGGGCATATAGTGACCAAACCCACATTTTTAGTTGTCCAAAAATCTTATCTTTCCTTGGTTTGATTTAATTTCTCGTCGTCTTTAATAGTTGGCCTATAGATGTGAGGGCCCTATATTATCCTTCCTCATACCTCAATAAGAAATCTTATATGAAATATTATATATAGATATTTTTAATCCCATATAAATAACTATTTTTAATCCCATATAAATAACTATTTTTGTCCTAAAATCAAATCTAAAGTTACTTTTCGTTCACAGGGATCCTAGAAGATTTTTTCTCATGATCCATCATATGCCCAGTAAAGATTTATTTCATTAGCCATAAATTTGTTAGTAATTTAGTAAGTTGTAAGCATATTTTAATTGATTAATCCCATTTAAATTATAGCAAACTTAATAAATTTTTGGTGACTATTTCTTGATTAGCTTCTTGGTGCCTTTCTTGAATTTTGAAAGAAAAGTTAAAACAATACTTGTTAAAGTAAACATTTTATTATTGCATTATTTAAAAAAAAATCTATGTTTGCACCATAAAGTCTCATGACTTTAAAGCAATTAAAATATTTTTAGTTCTTCACTTGGCAGTCGATGTTGGCCTTGCTACCAATCCTGAAAAAATAAGTAAAAAATCAATAAAACATAAAAAGAAAATATTAACAACATAATAACCATCTTACACATATTAATTATGATAAATGCTTATTCATTTTCAAAATTATAATGTTCAAGAGATATATATTTAAAAAAATAAAAAATAAAAAAATAAAATGAGGTTTGGACATTTGTTTGTTCAATTTCTGTTATTAAATAAGAAATAATTACATGTGATGGGGATTCATCAACTTGACAAATTTATTAATGTATAATTGTTTATTTTATATATATATTTCTTTTCACAAACATCTCATAATATTGTAATTTATTCTGATAGAGTCTAAGTACACAATAGACATAATAATTATTACCGTCCATATTTGATTTTGTACAAATTCAGATTTTTTTGTCATTTCCAACATTTGCATAACCTAAATAGTGAAATAAATAATTAATATATAAATTTGAATCAACATACAATTATTGGAGTTGTACTTTCAGGGATTTATTTGTGTGCCATTTTACAATTAACCTCCCTAATTTCTCAATTGTTTAAATACATTTTACATATATACAAATTCTAAGGTCCCCTTGTGGCAATGCATTTGGTTGTTTGTTAAGGAAAATGTAACTCAATAATGAAAATATTTTTTATTATTTTAATAATAATGTAGGTAAAATAATTAAATTACATTATCAAGTTCAATAAATTTACAATTCAATTTCGAAGGTAACAAAAATATTTAAAAAAATGTATATATAAACAAAATTGAATTGTGCTTGTCTATAATCTATATATTAAAATTATCTATAGATTTTCAACCTAAAATGGACCAGGTGTGTCTTAAGATACATGCTAATACCAAACAATAAGACACCACACCGTTGGTCCACAATATTGTGTTTGAGCCTTCTAAAAATTTTTTTTTGTTGTTCTATCTAAAAAACTGGTAACAAATGAAATACTTGGCACGAATGGAATACAATTTTCTAGAAGACATTTTGTAATGTCATTTATTTATGGAAGTCCCTTTGAATAAGAGGAAGGAAACATTTCTTTTTGTTTATCATTAGTCTAAAAATTTATGCCCAAGTTATATCAGCCTTTGCAAAGTAACAATTTATCTCTGTTTCCTTAACAAATCCATTCAAAATGCGCTTCAAAGATGTAATTACACATGAAAATAAGGTATGGAATATTCTGGTCATTTTTAAAGAAATAAAGATTTTGCTTAATTATATGTACGTTTACATACAATGAATGGAATCTTTTATTTTAAGCCTGCCCTACGTATAATATATATATAACTTTTAACCTACTAATTTTTTTTTTTAAATATTTAGGCTAAGCTCTCATCCGCTATTTTAAACTGTATCAATTCATGAAAACAATCATTCAGCGGTTCATATTTTACTTTTTAACTGTACTTCAACTCTTTCATCATGAACAATACACATAGCTAAAAGTTCTAAGTGTTTTAAAGACATACACTCTACAGTTCTCATGGATAAGGCACACCATATCAGGACAATTTATTCACTTTGAATGATCTATATAATATAACACTAAAATATATATTATCATTATTAATAATAAATGTAGTATGTATTAACTTTTAATATATAATTAAAATTTGACTGGCTGCCATATGACCCTTAGCTGGCACTCTTATATTAAAATGTATGTAAAACAGAATTGACTGAACATAATGCCTGCTTTATTCCAAGATAATTAGGGCATATATAATAAATACATGCTTGTTATTCTACAAACATACTAATGTCTAATAAGTTTATGTAATTTATAAATAGATAATTTCATAATATGCATATGACTATAAGTGCCTGCGGAAATAAGGTTTAAAAAGCCAAATATGTCCTACAACTTTTTTCTTTAAATATGATCTTTTAAAAAAGTGAATTTTAAGAAATTTTTTCTGTACAAAATAAGTTATTTATAATATATATATTTATATTTAAAAAAATCTGATTTGGCTCTATTAAATGATTCTCACAGGCTAGCTTTACTAAAAACAATATCTATCTATGCACTTGACAACACTGAGTTAACCTTTTTTTTATCACAATAATAAACTTTGTTCAAATAATAAATTGTGAATTTTCAACATTTTAGATTTTTGGTTTTTGTTATATTAAGTACTATACATGAAACTCCAGTTATGGTAATAATCTGTTATCAGAAACATCATATTGGTTTTGTATTTAAATATAACATTTTACAGAAAGAAATACACAAAAATGCCAAGTTTAAATTAAATTTAAACAAAATCCCTGGACTTATAATGGAATGTTTGGATTTTGTTTTGGAACACAAGGGAAAATGGCTGAGACAAAGGTCAACGACAAACATTGGAAAAAAGTTAAAATAAGCTAAAATAAATAATTAAAATAATTAGTTGAGAACGGTAGCAAGGACACAGGGGCATGCTTCAAGAGACGCTGGCTGGCAGTATCAGTGTTTACTGCTGGGAAAATAATTATAAATCTACTGCCATTTGTTTAAGATTTATGAATGTGGTGAATATTCATGAAACAATTATGAAAAATTTGTTTATACTTAAAATGTAGTCAACACCATTTGAAATTTCTAAACTAGTTTTTTTTCCACATAGAAGCATTTGTGGAGTAATTAAAATTCAATTTAATTACATGTATAACAATAAATTTCTGTGTTTCCATGCAACAATAATAATGGAAAAGTTTTTAACTTGACCTCTTTGAAAGGATCTGTGAATTTATAGGGTAGGGAGTTGGGTTCAGGCTGTAGGATGTAAAAAAAAGTAGTTTTTGATTTTAGTCAGTGTTGTAAATATTTTTTCCATCTCAAAAAATGTTTATATAACAATAAATTTTGTAATATTCTTGATCCTGACCTACATGCTTTAAATACAATTTTATAAAAATCACAATTTCAAATTATACACTTAACACTAATGGTAATTTTATTACCTTTAACCCTTTAAAACTTGCTTTTATCCTCAAATAGTATTACAATTTTTATTTTGAAGATCACTTTATAGTAATTTTCCCCCGAATATCTTGTACTGTATTTGGAATAATTTTTGATGTAATCAAAATTATCGCTCGCAATGTTTTCTTTCTAAAGTAAAAGAACCATTTTAAGAATTAATAAAAATATTGGTCCCTATTAAATTCTTTAGTTTTTAGAACTCAGCCCAAACACATGATCAGTGTACAGATTTTTTTTGATATAAGTTTGATTATCTTAGGTAATAAAGATATGTTTACACGTACATTTTTCATACTTAAAAGTTGGAGTTAACATTACATGGTAAATTTACATTTTGTAATTGATGAATGATGTTAGTTTCTCATACGTAGTAAAAAAACATGGATTTTTATTTAAATTTACCTTCAAATTATGGTTGTGTTTAGTTTTTAAAGATGCCATCCAAGTGTGAATTATTTTTTTTTATAACAGGTATAACATTGAATAAAAAAGAGCAAAGGATAAATATTTAGTTTTTATATTTATCTACTTAAAAAAATTAAATATCACGTTTTACTTCTTCCCATCAAGCAATATGAGGTAATTTTATTTTAACAAATATTTTCCTTATTATATATGTACATGTAATTTCTTTAAAAAACAAGATTTATATTATTCACTATATATTTCAGAAAAAACATCACTTTGATTTTAAAATACTTTAAAAGTCTAAAATTTTGAATTCAATATTTAACAGTTTATTTACGATTTTTGAACTTTAAAGAGGGAAGATTTATTCTGTACAACAAAGAAAAAGATACAGCAAAATCAATATGCTTAATAAATAATAACAAAGTAGAATTATAGATAATATAAATATTTAACAGCTGGTAACAATTTACCATTGTAAATGAACCTAAAGACAATATTTCAATTCAATTGGTAACCATACTTAATTCAAAAAAGAAGTTTCCCATTATGTTATTTTTATAAATGTTTATGAATAGGAACGTTTTCCAAAGACTAGATTTTTTTATTAACTTCAAAATTTTCAGACAATTTTTGTCAATGTCTAAAAGGCACATTTAATTTTGTTTTTCTGATAATACAGTAAATTTAATGTACAAATGTGGTTTAGACCTCTCAATCATTTCAACTACATATTTTCAGTCCATCATATTAAATGATACTAAACACATCAGTACTAAAATGAATCGAAGTATGGAACATGTCTATAAAATATAATTCAAATAATTTTTCTGATGTTTGATATTAACCATAACTGACATTAATTAACTTTTGAAATTAGCATTCAGAGAATCTATCACTATATGATAAAAACTTACATGTAATATACTTAACTATTTTACTAAAAAATCACTGATCTACTCCATTTGTATGGCTATTTGTATTATTGAAAAGTAGTGATTTTTTGTTGTAAATAAATCACGATATTCAGTTAAAGTTCAATTATGTCAGTTATTAAAATGAAACGGTTATAATTTTTCCAATTGACCGATCAGTTAATTTTAACTATTATTCTATTGACAAGAATTGTTAAATTTGTTGCCATACTTCTACATTTTTTGAGTTTATTTCCTTCTGTTACCAATAAGGATTATTTTCTACAAGCTGAGCTAAGCAACCTAGGTGAGTTTGGGGTCAAACATAACCAGGGTAGTTATGAACCATATAGTCCCTATTCATATGCCAATTTGCAGAATAGGAATTGTAATGGTACGATGGCACACAATCATTGTAATGTTGGTAGTACATGTTATGATGATGAGGGGGTGGATAATGGTGGTGGTGGTAGTGTTGCTGGTGATAATACGGGTGTGATCTCCACTGGTGATATTGGTCATAGTGGGGTTGATTATGGGGGTATTGCCACTGCGGCTCTGGCTGCATACATGGCTGGTTGTGCATTGGGTCGGGGGAAGCGAACGTTGGCCTTTGGAAGAGGTCCCTTGGTTCTGGTTGCTTACGCTTTCGCCCTCTCGGTTTACGCTTTGGTATCACTTCAACTGGTTCACTCACCTTTGGCTGTTCAACCAGTTCAGCCGGTTGTGATTCAAAGTAGTCATCATGCTGGGAAAAACGACCGATTTCAGTTATATTACCAAATGTTTGGTGAAACCCAGGCAGTTTCATTGCATCTCGGTTCATTTCTTTAGGACATTCTGGAGAGACAAGTGTCACTCTCGGCCCATCGATCTTTGGTATTGACTCTTCTTCCTGGAAAGTTATAATTTTCTATATGACGATCTATAGATATTAAGTTGTTAGTAGTTACTGTTTTAACACGTTCGTTACGGCAATGATTTGTACCATCACTCATTGTGTATTATAAGGAGACTTTCGTCATTCTGGAATGACACCGTAACGAAAGTGTTCAGGTTATAATTAAATTTGGAATGAAAACAATGATATTTAAGTTTTGCCTCAGTAAAAGAGGCTCTTTTGGTTTCAAGTTATTTAGAGTCGACTACCTTCAAAGGAGGTTGTTCAATTTGACAACTATCCACACCGTTTGTTATCAGCCCATTATGTACATCGTTTATCATGAGAGGATCCTGTGACGAGCCCATGAGTTGGTTCTGGTTGGGCATCATTAAAGGTCCTTCCATAGGTAATTGCTGACCCATTACTTGTGGAACTGACTGCATACTAGGGTGGTATTGTCCTTCTAATAGCAATAAAAGTAATTAACATGCTGTAAAAAGAAATTCATTATATCGCTTATTTACCAGAATTATTGTTATTTATCTGTGGGGGAATAAATGGAGACTCGGTATCAGAGTGGTAGCTTCCCCACTCCGTAGGAGTTTTGTTTTCATTACCTCGACCGTAAAGATCTGAATTTCCATTCTGTATACCACCCTGGAAATTAAGTTCTTACTCTACAGCAATTATAAATTACATGTATGATAAAGTAGTTGATGTATAAAGAAAATTACATGTGCATAGCTGTTGTACCAGGACTGGTCAACATGTTGGTGGACCAGGTTGTATTCGCCAGGTGGTGGCATACGAAGCTGAGAGTAATTCAGGTCTGAAAAACTCTCATTGTAATTCTGTAACATCCTCTGGCTCCTAAACTCCTCCGCCCGCTGACTCAGCATCTAAAACGTTCAAATGGTTTACTATTCCGATTGTTTAATTCTTTCTTAGAATAAATAATACATTGATACTGATGCAGTAAAATATATGATATATGTATAAATGATGAAGTGAAAATATAAGCGTTTGGGGGATTATTTTTTCTAGTCTACTTTATTTTTATAAAAGTTGAGCCGAAAACATTTGTTTTAGTTTAAACTTATTGTTTGAAAGCATCTAAGTAATCTGATATTTTAGATTGTTAAATAGGTAATACATTTGTTCCTATCACTTTTCACATACTTTATTCAACGTGATATTTAATTTTGAAAGGCTATACGATTTGCTTATGAAGTAGACTATGTACGGCCATGTTTTCTGGTTAAAATGGTGGAATGGACAGTATGAAATTAAACCTTAAACAATTTCGAGCAGTTTGTTAATAGAAGTACAGCTTGGAAATACCATATCTTATAGGTTTTAATTCACCTTCAGACAGAGAAATATTTTCTGCAGACAGTTCTTTAAGTAATCCAAACAAGTCGGTCAGGTCACAGTTAATGGACTGAAGAAAATAGAAAACATCCCCCGTCAGAACCGGGTTCATTATTTTGGACTTAAATTATGTTCATTGAACGACCAGCTGGATAAGTACTATCACGTTCGACGTTGCGTTGACGCAAAGGATTAGCTAGAAAATCTGACAAAATTAAAAAAAACAACAACTTGGTTTTACGGAAAACTCAAGGGGGATAAAATATCAAAATGTTTAATTTTTGTCAGTTCAGTTTTTTCAGTTTTTACCCGTAGCCCCGTGGGAATTTTTGTTGGGACTTGCGGGGCGGATAGTGGTGTGCCAGTCGTTATTTTGGGTCTGTCAAATGCATTTCGACACCTTCAGCGGTTGATTTTTGATAACAAAATGCTGAAACGCTTCTGCAGATCAAAACAACAAGGTCGGAAAAGAACAAACTACAAATTAGGCTGAAATCAACTAGGATTCCAGGACGTCGACACGGCGCCTAAGGTTTTGCCATTACGAGAAAGGATTTGCTTGTCAGCCTCATTCCTAGATTTTCATTTAATAACGGATTTGTATGTCAAACTATCTAGGATAGGCAGACCAAAATGATCGGTAACGATCAAATTTAAAATTGTGCATTGTCCGTTTCAATTCCATTTCATTTTTTAAGCATTTGTTACTGACGCATAATTTTTTTGAGCGAATCAATTTTTCAGGTTTCTCAGTGTGTAGTATCAGAAATCTTGCTTTTTTACAGCAATTGAGCAAGCAGTTAGCTGAAATTTTGACACTGGTTGGAATTATTTCACCTTGTTCAATTCTAGTACCATTGTCGGTAAAGATAGTTAATCTATTTTCAGACTTGTTTTGGGTTGAATTTTTAAACCTATTTGCAATAATTAATTGTTACTCTCCTAAATGGCGAACAGACTTGGATTTTATATGCTCCTTACATCGCATTCTTCTTCCTACAGGCTTTTAAATGTGTTGTTTGTTAAAATCGGGTAAGTGTCTTGTTTGGCACTAGTGAAAAATAATAGTTTGGGAGTCATTTGCTCAAATGATACGTTAGAAGGATAAATTTTTCGTTGATCTTTTTCCACCTTTATGTTCGTCATTTTCAAGCATGAATGCTGGGCTTAAGAGGGTCCTGGTTTAAAAGTCTTGGAGCCGAGCCTGTAATTACAATGTTAATTCTTAGATGACAAACAACAATACGTAGTGTGAAAAGGAACAATAGGTAGTGGCGTGGGTGGGATAGCTCTTGTATCCATGGATACGTGTTGCTAGGTAGCCAGAGCGCCTGCCTAGGAAGGGGTGCCCCGGGTGGGAGGGGGCCACTCCTGGAAGGCCGGACATCGAACCATCGCCACACATCAATAACTGCCCGAGCACTCCCTCATCCTCGGGCCTTACTGCGTACAAGCGGAAAATGAGACGATTCATAAACGAAGGGTGCTTCGGAAACGTACTCGCGTAGCCTTGGAGCCGCGGGCTGTCGGTCCTACATCCGGACGGGGCCGATAACCGCATGGCAAAAATGGATTTAGCCTTTGGCTTAGGTAGTTAGTATGGGAGGATCTACAAGAATTGATTGGTCTTGAATTTTTTTAAGGGTCATGAGTTCGAAAAAGCAGTCCCATACAGGTTTTTCACCCTTTGGCTGTTGTTAAATTATGAATTAGTCTTGTTTTCTACCATAAGCTCTAGTAAGTAGAAGTAGGTAATTAAAAAAAACAAAAGAAAAAAAACACGCGGCATGTGATCCTAATGATTGTGTCTTTCTGCTCAGTGGCATCATAAACTGAAAACTTTTCTAAAACTGTCTCAAGTTAACATTATGTCAGTTAATATTATGTCCATTCGTGGTCTAATTGACCAAATAACTTCTTTCAATTAATTAATCTTTAAGGTATTGGTTGAAATGTAAAAGTTAGTGTCAGGAGCGGGATTCGAACCCACGCCCTTCGGCTCAATACGCCGCTGCTCTACCACTTGAGCTATCGTGACCGATTCACTCGGACACCAATTCCAATTTCAACTACACTTCGAATTTTCCCACCTTTTTGCCATTTTTTTTTTCAAAATGTGTAATCAGGATTCGATTCTCAGCGACAAATGAAATGGCTACGGAGAGCTTTAGCGAAGATATACTTCGTTTTACTTATTAAATCCATTATATTTCGTGGTCTAATTGGTAATAACTAACCTTTGGTAATACCACATCAGTTATTTTGGGTGCTATGGGTATGGTACGGTCGTAAAGCAATCTTGCAGGTTAGTACCCTATGTAATGAGCTGTTTGAATATCTTCGAATGACTGGAGGCAGGTGTTAGCAAGAATTTGTACTATTTACTGGTTTCATTGTGAATGAATAACCAAACAGACAATACAGTCATGTCTTAAGGCTAAAACAAATACTCGAGTAAGTGAAAGGTTGAGAAATTCATATCTGTCACATTGGTCCTGGGAGCGGTGTTGAAAATTCAACTGCACTTTGTTGAATGTGGGTAACAATTTAGAGCCATCGGTTAATGTTTACGTAGTAGATATTTATTAATTTTACGCTGGAAGATGGTTTCTAGTGTGATGTAATCAGTAGGGTTTTTTATTTTTATTTATTCATCGTATTGAATAAGTCGATCAATGGGGTAAGAGAATGTCGTCAGTTCGCTTAAAATTCGTTCGTTTAAAAGATCAAAATAAAAATATTGCCAGCCAGACATACAGAAGTACCCGGATCGTTATATTTAACCAACATATTAATGTCAAATGGAGTGTCTTGTTTTCTCTATGGATTGTACGAATACTACTCATAATTGTATGTAGTGGAAACAATGTTTTGACATGAGCTGTAACCCCTTTACCGTTGCGCAAGGTCACTTCAAGTGTCCCACTGCGGTCAATTAGTCCAGATTGTTCTCATTTTAACCCATAATGATTTTTAAGTGTTTTGAATGAAAAATTAAAATATCTCCTCATAACAAAATTTTATTAGTAATCCTTCATAGGACTATCATTTCGAGATTGAGACCTGTGAACCGTATTTATAAAATTTTTAGTGGTGGTTGTTGGTCTGCGAACACATATTGAACGGATTGACTCTTGATCAATTTACAGGGTCCGTCAACTCTCGCTGGTTTACGTTACCGGTGCTGAGTGAAACTTAAATCCTTGAGAGTAGACGGAATCAGTAAAGTGCAGCAAAAATATTTTTGCTGTTGAACGTGATGTACAGCTTTTTAAAAACGATTATATTTCAATGTAACATAGATTGGTTTTAAGGCTATACATGATAATGCAGTCCTATCTTTTATTTAGTTCCCTTATTTCAAAATGACTCCTGCATATCAAATTGCGCGATTATAAAGTTTAATAATGAACAGATCTGGTACTTTGTTCAGCAGTTTATCTTGTTAGTGGTACTTGAAAATTGTTCATAATTTCAATTGATTAATCTTTATGTAGGGTATTGGTTGAGATAAAAAAGTCAGTGTCAAGAGCGGGATTCGAACCCACGACCTTCGGCTAAATACGCCGCTGCTCTACCACTTGAGCTATCGTGACTTCGAACCATTCGGACTCCAACTTACAATCTCAACCCACGTTTCGAATTTTCCCTCCTTTTTGCCATCTTTCAAAATTGGAAAGGTGGGTTGAGATGGGAAGTTGGTGTCCGAGTGGATCGAAGTCACGATAGATCAAGTGGTAGAGCAGCGGCGTATTTAGCCGAAGGTCGTGGGTTCGAATCCCGTTCCTGATACTAACTTTTTCATTTCAACCGATACCTTAAATAAAGATTAATTAATTTAAAGAAGTTATATAGTCAATCGGACCACGAAATCTAATGGATTGTTCATAATGAAAAACGCCCCGTGTGATCTTTGACAGGCGCTATTTCCTTTCATTTTAGATTGCCTAGAAGTGTATTCCAAGGAGGAGTCACTTTAACGGATGATCCGAATGTATGAATATCTGAGGTCGTCACGCATCCTGTCATATTGACATCACGACAACCGAGGTTGATGCGAGTCGATACATATGTACGCCTTTACAAAGGAACAAACAAGAAACAGTAACAGAAGAGGAGAATTATTATCTGGGTTAAAAGCATGTTAATTCCTCAGGAGATGCTTATCGGTAGGTCAGATTTAAAATAGTAATAAAAGGAGGACGTATTGTCCCTTTACTTCTACCGAGCAGGGATCGATGAATAATGCACCAGGCGCGTCAGATTTTCAAGTGGGGTCATTTTAAATTTTAAGAAGCACGTCGTTTTAAATTTGAATTAGAAGCAGAGATGGACAGTTTTTTTAGTCCCGAACCCTGAATTTATACGTGTGTCAAAGGCAAGCTCTTTTGAACGTACGCTTAACTTAATATAATACATCGCTTTGACTATCGACGGTTCAAATTAAATTACTGAAATTTAAGCAAAATAATTGCGATTAAATTCCAATGAAGCATTGCTGCAAAACAAATAAATTAACAAAAAATTT